TCTGTGTTCTGTTAGTGAGGAAATTATAGATCCATCGACCAACTTTTCCTGTTATTCCTTTAGCGCGCATTTTGTGCGCTATTACGCCATGGTCACACTTGTCGAAGGCTTTTGCAAAGTCTGTATATATTACATCTGCATTCTTTTTGTCTTCTAGTGCATTTAGGACCTTGTCGTAGTGATCCAGTAGTTGAGACAGACAGGAGCGACCTGTTCTAAACCCATGTTGCCCTGGGTTGTGTAACTGATGGGTTTCTAGATGGGTGGTGATCTTGCTTCTTAGGACCCTTTCAAAGATTTTTATGATATGGGATGTTAGTGCTATTGGTCTGTAGTTCTTTGCTGTTGCTTTACTGCCCCCTTTGTGGAGTGGGGCTATGTCTGTTGTTTTAGTAACTGAGGGACGACCCCCATGTCCATGCTCCTCTCCATAGGATGGAAAAGGCTCGTGATAGGGGCTTCTTGCAGTTCTTGATGAAACACAGAGTTCCATGAGTCTGGCCCCGGGGCAGAGTGCATGGGCATGTCATTTATCGCCTGTTCGAAGTCATTTGGCGTCAGGATAACATCGGATAGGCTTGTGTTAATCAAATTTTGTGGCTCTCTCATAAAAAATTCATTTTGATCTTCGACTCTCAGTCTGGTTAGCGGCTTGCTAAAAAACTGAGTCATATTGGACTTGAGTAGCTCACTCATTTCCTTGCTGTCATCTGTGTAGGACCCATCTTGTTTAAGTAGGGGCCCAATACTGGACGTTGTTCTCGATTTTGATTTGGCATAGGAGAAGAAATACTTTGGGTTTCTTTCGATTTCATTTATGGCTTTTAGTTCTTCCCCCGATTCCTGACTCCTAAAGGATTCTTTTAGCTTAAGTTCGATGCTTGCTATTTCTCTGACCAGTGTCTCCCTGCGCATTTCTGATATATTGACTCTTTTAGCCGCTCTGTTATTCTTTTCCGTCGCCTGTAAAGGGAGCGCCTGTCTCTTTCTATTTTACATCTACTCCTCCTTTTTCTTAGAGGAATAAGCCTTGTGCATACATCGAGTGCCACCCAGTTAATCTGTTCTAGGCATAAGTTTGGGTCTGTGTTGCTTAGTATATCTTCCCAGCTTATATCGGTTAGGACTTGGTTTACTTGGTCCCACTTTATGTTTTTGTTATTGAAGTTGTATTTGGTGAATGCTCCTCGTGACTAGTATCATTTTGTCGGTCTGAGGCCCCACGCATACATGTCTGAACCTCAATTATGTTGTGATCTGAGTATATTGTTTTTGATTGGTGACATTTCTTATCAGATCATCATTGTTAGTGAAGATGAGGTCTAGTGTATTCTCCAGTCTAGTAGGCTCTATTATTTGCTGGTTTAAATTGAATTTTGTGCAGAGATTTAAAAGCTCGTGTGAGTGTGAGTTTTCATCAGAGCTGCCTCCTGGTGTTATTACTGCAACAATATTATTTGCTATATTCCTCCATTTTAGGTGCCTTAAGTTGAAATCCCCCAGGAGCAAGATGTTGGGTGCAGGAGCTGGAAGATTTTCCAGACAGTGGTCAATTTTTAACAGCTGTTCCTGGAATTGCTGGGATGTTGCATCCGGAGGCTTGTAGACTACCACAATGACTAGGTTTTGGTTCTCGACCTTTACTGCTAAAACTTCCACTACGTCATTTGAGGCATTAAGCAGTTCTGTGCAAACAAGTGACTTGCAATGTACAGGCCAACCCCCCCCCCCTTTTGCCTGTTCACTCTGTCACATCTGTATAGGTTGTAACCTGGGATCCATATTTCGTTGTCCAAGTGATCCTTTATGTGGGTCTCAGTGAAAGCCGCGAACATTGCCTTTCCCTTTCTGAAAGCAGTCCACGGATGAAAGGTATTTTGTTGTTTATTGCTGGCTTTAGACCCTGTATATTTGCAAAGAAGAATGTTATCGGACTGGTGGTATTGTTGGTACTGGGGGGGGATTTTTTTTTCGGCATTAGTATCTGTATCTGTTGGTTTGGAGTGGAGGCCATCGACTGTGGTTCCACTCCAGGAATGACTGGATTTGGTGTACGATTTCTGCCATTTCCTGCCAGTTTTTTTTCCTTCCTGGCACTAAAAATCCTCTCCCTCTTGAGTGGCTGTGGCTACCCAGGTTTTCCCATGGCCTGGATGTTTTGTATCTTTTTGTCCCTTTAGATGGTATGCCTGGCAATTTAAGTTATAGCACAGTCTTTCCTGTACTGAAGAGGTACACATTTCAGGGGGGAAAAAGCTTACAGGAAGGGAGTTTGCATTTTCCTGTTGTCATATGGGCATGACATTTTCTAGGGTGGTCATAGTTGCATGTCCCATCTGTTTTTCCAGATTTCCCATGCCAGCAGATCCCAAGTGCATAGTATGTGCACAGGCTTGGTTTCCGTTTGCCTTGGGTTTCTGTGACTTTTATTCCCTGTTGGTGCATGTTTCCCTGTCTTATTCCTATCCTCCTTAGCACCAACAATGGAGCTCCCACCAGTTGTTTTTGGTAATTTATCCTCACTATTGCTATTGGAGTCCTCTTGTTTGCTATTTCCTGCGGTATTTCTGGTTTGCAATATTGGTTTTATCTTATCTTTGACTACACTTGTTTCCCTACTATGGCTCCTGTCCTCTATGAGGTCATTTATTATGTATTCCTTCTGCGTATAATTCCCGACTACCTGGACAAAATCTCCAGCTTCACCATTACTGTCTACCAGGACAGTATCTCCAGCTTCACCATTTCTGTTCCCAGGACAGCACCTCCAGCTTCACCATTACTGTCTCCCAGGACAGTATCTCCAGCTTCACCATTACTGTCTCCCAGGACAGCACCTCCAGCTTCACCATTACTGTCTCCCAGGACAGCACTATCAGCCTACATTTACTGACTACCAGGACATCACCTCCAGCCTTACAGTTTGTGACTACATGGCCAGTATCAAGGGCAGTACCATTCAGCCCGGACTTTTTATGTTCCCATCTGTTGTAGAAAGCTTCCAGGTTTTCTATGAAAAGCAGCTTTGATGTTATCCTCTTTTAATACCCTTGTGATTTTAGTCCACAGATTTTCCTCATTTGGGCATACCCAAAAACACTTCTCTGTTTTAATACTGCTTGTAGCTAGTTCTGGGATATCTGCACAAGGAGCGTGACACCAATTTCCACAAAAATGACAATTTATCCATGTGGTAGCCCGTTTGTTTGACTGACCACAGACTACACACAGCTTCATAATGATTTGAATGGTTGATTTACTGCAAGTCTACTAGCAACCTCTTGAATATTATATTAATAACCCTTTAAAAGAAGCTCTAGCTATTTGTATTTCTGTTTCTAAAATCTTTTTGTATATTGGGACAGCTTACCGTCACGTTCCTGATTTTTAATGTTTGTGTTTATAAGGGCGCCTACAAAACCCATCCGTTTACAGTCTGCTTTATTGTCCAACGAAACTGTTTGAAACCAGTCCCGGGTTCGGACCAGTCAAGGGTTCGGACCAGTCAAGGGTTCGGACCAGTCGATCTGCTCTGATCAGTGGGTCACTTATTTAAAACTACTGGTCGGTGATTTGAGCTAACACATGAAGGATTACTGGAAATTATCTACCCGAGTAATATGTGATTTGACTGATACAAAAGTATAACTTGCGTGTTGAAGAGCCGGTGATATCTGGCAGCTCCTACAATGACGTACAGTCGACCTCTTTGTTTATCAATCGCTGTATCTGGCTTTTCTATTTTTTGTTTTTCCGTCTCCACCACAATAAATGCTATATTATCACTATAGTTGACTGGTGCAAATTTTGGAGGAAGGACGCTTTTTCTGTAGTAATAATTGCTTCTCGTTGTGTATATTGCGACCGCTGGTAACTACAGGTTATATGAAATTCACAGTAACGTCTCGTATTTCAAGAAAATGAAACTAATGAAAGTCACTCCACTCCACTAAGTACCATTATAATACTGGTTAGTTGCTACTACAACACTGTATTCTGCTATTCACTGGTATCACTAGATTATATGCGAGTACACTAGCAGGCCAGGAAGATTATTAAAAACAGCTGACCTGTGGTAAGTTTCTGGCGACTTCTGGCACCTGCCTCTATAGGCTTATCACTTCATTTACAAATTCACCTGTTTTCAAATGGGCACTTTAGCCTTTATCATCAATATACTAGGGAGCCACTGTAGTATACACTAAACACTATGTATACTCAATGCTTTCAGGGAGACTTTCTTTCCTCTGACACAACGTTCAATTATTATTATTTTTTTCACACGGGAAACAGGCCTATGATTCCCCTCTGGCAGTAAACTCTGCTAGGTAATGCACACTAATTCTCCTTTTTTGACTCAGTATATAATGTTTTCCGCCCAAGATTGGTTCCAGGCGCTAGAGGGATGTATCGTATAGGATTGATGACACAAATTAAAGTTCTAGCACGTAAGAGCGACCGTGAAAACACCAGAAAGCCGGGAGCTGAACTTCTCCAGGCCGAGGGACTGACAACGTTTCAGAGCGAGAGCGTTAACCACCAGGCCACCAGAGGGTTAGCAGGGCTGTCTTCCTTAGCTCTTTTATTTTGTCAAGATTTGGGTTACATTCTTAGTATTCTTGGGTCATTTTGTGGTCTACGTGGGTTCATGTAGTTGTACATTCAATTAGGCCATCACAAGCTTTGATGAGCGATGGTTTCTTGAAGAATAAGAGTTGCTAGGATGCAGGTGCTGCCGCAGTGTGCTGGAGGTGTCCCATCTTTCTCTAAAACCCAGTTCTATTTGCTAACTTAATATATGTTAGTGTAAACTTGTTATCTGGCATTTATATGCATTTTTAAGTGGAATAAAAGGGTGTTCTGCTTTATGGTGATGTCCGCTTTCCAGTGGCAGCCTGGAACCTAACATGTCGTGTAAGTGGGGCCATACTGTAATGAAAAAAATTACTTATGAACTTTATTTTAAATTTTTATTTATATCTTTTACTTTTGTATTTCAGGGAAAAAGGTTAGTGGTGCATTGAAGCATCTGTGGAGACAAAGAATATTATCCATGGAGGTAAAAAGGGGAATGTATGAGAGTATGGTGGTACCAACTCTCTTATATGGGTATGAAGCATGGTTTGTGAATATTGCAGCAAGTAAGAGGCTACAGGGAGTGGAGATATCATGTCAGAGTGCATTGTGTGGTGTGAACATTATGCAGATAATTTGTAGCTTAGAAATTAAGAGTAGGTGCAGGATTACTGAAAATATTATCGGGGGGAGGGGGGGAAGAAGAAGGGTTGTTGAAGTGATTTGGACATTTAGAGAGGATAAAGCAAAATAGAATGTAGTGGAGGAAAGGCAGGGTAGGGGGTTGCCTTAGGGAAGGTTGGAGGGAAGGGGTAAAGGAGATTTTGTTTGCATGGGGCTTGGACATCGAGCAGTTGTACGTGAGTGAAGGCAAATGGTTTTAATGACTTGCCATGAAATTGGAGTATTAGTGGGTAACATGAAAATAGTCAGGAAAATCAGCCAGTTGGACTTGAATCCTGGAGGAGGAAAGCACAGTGCCTGCACTCTGAAGGAGGGGTGGGGATATTTGTTGTTTAGATAGACGTCTGCACTGTAATATTGATGGGCTTCTGGCAAGACAAGAGTGAATGATGGTGGAAATGGTTCTTCTTTTTCGGGTCGCCCTACCTTGGTGGGACTTCTCTTACAAAAATTGTAATTAAATCAATAGTTCTTTACAATCTCTGTATATAATGGCTGTAAACAAATTATGAATGCATTTAGTAAAATAACAGTGAAAATACTTTTCAGAAAATAATTTTGATTTGTTATATTGGTGAGTAGAATGGTGGGTTAGAGATCAGATGTATTGTCTGTGATTATTTCAGCTTTTAGAAGGTGTTATATTCACATTATTTTGAGGAGACTTAGAATAGGACTGAGTCTTCTTAACAGTAAAAGATGTTGAATGCTTTTAGTCTCTGTGCAAATCATTATTCATGACAAAATAATTTTGTTCTAAAGTCCTCTGATTATTCTTAGTTTAAATGATTGTAATTCAGGGACCAGTCGTAATGTTAATCACATTCTTTTCATTTTGCAGTTGATCTTTTCAACGAAAGAATTACATTTACAGTCCAGCAGCTAGCATGATGAAACTGATATAAGTGAAAGATATACTGCAGAAATAGTATGAGCAGTGTAATAATATTGACCATATTGTCATAAATATATTCTGATGATGCTCACTTTATTATGCTGACACTTACATTCATACCCTCAGTAACCAGTGGACATAAGTTGATGCTGTTGTGCTGTTGATGCTGTGTGCTGTTGATGCTGTTGTGCTGTTGATGCTGTGTGCTGTTGTAATCATAATAAAATAATATCTTTTGAGGAACAAAATATTGATGAGTTGATTACTTATATTGTTTATTTAGGAAGATAGAAAATAATCTCTCATTTAGGCAATAATTATATATTTGTATGATTTTAAAATTATTTATTTCTAGACATAAGATAGTTTGTACAGTAAATAACATATATTGTTAGTGGGTCTAATGACTTTTCTCACAAATAATCTTCTGGTTACAAATTTAAAAATACATACGAGAGAATATTTAACAAAAATTGTATTTGTATTCAGTGTGTAAGTTTGCAGATGAATAACATCATGCAACACAGAGTTGCTACAGAGAAAACAACATATCAGAGTCCTGAGCATCTTCAGGACTTATCACATAAGTTATTTCCAATGCAATACATGGGAATTCATACACAAGAAAAACCATATCGGTGTTCTGAGTGTCTAAAGGAATTTAAACATAAATCAGCTCTAAGGCAGCACATAAGAGTTCATACTAAAGAAAAAGCATATTGGTGTACAAAATGTCTGAAAGACTTCTCATATAAATCTGCTCTAATGCAACACATGGGAACTCATACACTAGACAAATCATTTCACTGTTCTGAATGCCTAAAAGATTTTTCACATAAATCACATCTAAGGCAACACATGAGAATTCATACACAAGAAAAACCTTTTCAGTGTCCAGAGTGTCTAAAGGTCTTTGCACATAAATCAACACAAATAAAACACATGAATGTTCATTCACAAGAAAAACCATATCAGTGTTCCGTGTGTCTAAAAAACTTTTCACTGAAATCGTCTCTAATTCAACACACACGAGTTCATACACAAGAAAAACCATACAAGTGTTCAGATTGTGTAAAAGCCTTTTCACAAACATCAACACTCATACAACACATGAAAGTTCATACAAAAGAAAAACCATTCAAATGTTCCGAGTGTCTGAAAGATTTTTCAAAAAAATCAAATCTAATACAGCACATAGTAGTTCATTCACAAGACCATCCATACCAGTGTTCAGTGTGTCTAAAAGACTTTAAACATAAATCATATTTAGTACGACACATGAAGGTTCATTCAGTAGAGAGACCATAATATTGAACTTTTACATAACACACTTTGAAGTGCTTCTTTGGATCATTACCTTCAAGAAAGTTGCCTTGCCCATGGTGAGGGGGCTCTTGATTCAGGGAATTGAAACTCTCCTACTCTTTCTGGGATTAAACTTGTTTGTTTTCTATTTTACAGGAACTATATTTTGAGTTTCACCACTTGTCATGTACTCTAAATTTATTTGTGTATTTTTTTGTATTATGTATATTTGTTATATTTGTTAGGTATATTAAACAGCTGAAGTAATGTTAATAAACATGTCTGTATATTCCTATAGTTATTAATATTAGTTATTATCCTTTTAACATTTTATCAACTTAACCCTTTCAGGGTCCAGAGGCCAAATTTCAGTGTGCATCAGGGTCCAAGAATTTTCAAAAAATAATTTTGTTATTTTTTCTTATGAAATGGTAGAGAATCTTTTTCTGAAGGTTATAAAACTCAAAATACGAAATTTGATGGAAAATTTACAAAATTATGCTCTTGCGAATTTTGATGTGTCGGCGATATTTACGCATCGGTGATTTTGCCGACCTTGACTCCCATTTTAGGCCAATTACAGTATTCCAGTCAACCAAATTCTTAGCTATTTCACTAGTATTACTTCTATCGATTGAGCAGAAGAAATCGCCAAGTCAACTGTTTCACCAACCAAATAAAGTGACTGGAAATTGGTAATTTGGCCAATTTAATGCAAAGTTCAAAATATTCCAGTTTCAAAATAGGGTCCAAAATAAACAATGTAGGCATTCCTGGCACTAAACTAACATTTCCTCTGTTCATTAGTTATGTTTTCAGGCTTTACAAGTGAATTCCATTTTGATTTTTTATTCACATAATGAATTTTTATTCAAACCAGAAAATAGAAGATTTACTGTTATGCAATACTCTAATAATTGTATAAATAATATCACCACATTTGTGAATGTATATTAGACCCACCAGCTGTCATGTATTAGGCTTGTGAGGTCATTTATTTACTCTCGAACATTGGCAAAAATTTAACATTTCTGCTACTTTGAGTTCAGTTTCAAGCCATTTCCCATATTAAAACCAATCAAAATCATCTCTTTTTCTGTAGTATATCTTCCATTCTATCAAATGAGACCAAGAAATTGCAAATACAACTATAAAAAGCATACAAAAAAAACACTGCAAATTCTCTGTTTTAATCGAAAATTCCAGTCTCAGTTTTTCTCTCTCTGATGCACTGTGCTGCAGGATTTATTTTATGTGGTGCACACATACCACATAGATGTATTCTCTCATATCTATGCCCAAATTTACTGCTCACAGCTTATCAGAGTGAGCTGAGCTCATGGCATAGATCTACGGTTTGGACCCTGAACATAAAGCCGTAGATCTACAGCACGGACCCTGAAAGGGTTAAATACCATATTCCTGTGCCGAGGATGCCTTCCAGGTCTGACTGGCTAAATTTTAAAAAAAAAAAATGAAACTGTATCCATGGTAATAATGATAATAAAGTTAAGTTAAGCATGAAGCATTACACATAAAAATGTGTTGATGGTTTGTTGTGCAGTTAGTTATGACTGAAGCATCCCTGGCAAACCTGCCACTCAGCTGCTTCAGCTAAAATTCATCACATTTATGTTAAACGACCCTAGTGGGTTTAGTGGCTCTTGTTTTATTATAATAATTTATGCGAAACAGCACTAAGAAACACTCCAGTATACAGACAATTATTCTAGATCTGCTAAATCCCAATCCTGAGCTTCAGAGGAGGCTTTAGTATTGATTATAATAGTAATGAACTTAAAAGGTTCTTACATCCAGAAATGTCAGCTAAATGTTCTTTGCAGAGTTAAATGTTCACTGCTGAACATTGTTCAGCAATGAACAAAGATATAATTCCCTCTGTTCTTTTTAATCGTCACTTAGGGTTTTCAAATTCATAAGTTTATTTAGGTACAAGTACACACAAAGTTAACTAAATTATGCATAGTAACATGTGTAAATTACCTGAAGAGGGTTTCAGGGGTCAATGCCCCTGCTGCCCAGTCTGTGAGCTGATCAACCAGGCTGTTACTGTTTGCCACACGTAAACCAACGTATGAACCACAGCCCGGCTGATCAGGTACTGACTTTCGGTGCCTGTCCAGAGCCTTCTTGAAGATAGCCAGGGGTCTACTGGTAATCCCCCTTATGTATGCTGGGAGGCAGCTGAACAGTCTTGGGGCCCTGACCCTTATTGTATTGTCTGTTATTGTGTTAATGGCTCTCCTGCTGTTCATTGGGGGGATGCTGCATTGCCTGCCAAATCTTTTGCTTTTGTAGGGATTGATTTTCATGTGCAAATTTGGTACTAATCCCTCTACGATTTTCGAAGTGCGTATAATGTATTTTTCCTGCCTGTGTTCTAGGGAGTATAGGTTGAGGAACTTCAAGCATTCCCAGTAACTGAGGTATTTTATCGCACTTATGTGTGCCGTGAAGGTTCTCTGTACATTTTCTAAGTCAGCAATTTCACCTGCCTTGAAAGGTGCTGTTAGTGTGCAGCAATATTCCAACCTAGATAGAACAAGTGACCTGAAGAGTGTCATCATGGGCTTGGCATCCCTAGTTTTGAAGGTTCTCATTATCCATCCTGTCATTTTTCTAGCAGATGCGATTGATACAACGTTATGGTCTTTGAAGGTGAGATCCTCTGACATGATCATTTCCAGGTCTTTTACGTTAGTTTTTCACTCTATTATGTGGTTGGAATTTGTTTTATACTCTGATATAGTTTAAATTTCCTCACGTTTTCCATATTGGAGTGATTGAAATTTCTCATCATTGAACTTCATATTGTTTTCTGCAGCCCATTTAAAGATTTGGTTGATGTCCACCTGGAGTCTTGCAGTGTCTTCAATGGAGGACACTGTCATGCAAATTCGGGTGTCTTCTGCAAAGGAAGACAAGGTGCTGTGGCTTACATTCCTATGTCAGAAATGAAGATGAGGAACAGGATGGGAGCAAGTACTGTGTCCTGTGGAACAGAGCTTTTCACCATAGCCACCGCAGACTTTACTCTGTTTATGACTACTCTTTGTGTTCTATTTGTTAGGAAATTATAGACCCATCTACCAACTTTTCCTGTTATTCCTTTATCATGCATTTTGTGCACTATTACACCATGGTCACATTTGTTAAAGGCTTTTGCAAAGTTTGTGTATACTACATCTGCATTTTGTTTGTCTTCTAGAGTATCCAGGACCTTGTCATAGTGGTCCAGTAGTTGGGACTGACAGGAGCGACATGCTCTAAACCCATGTTCCCCTGGGTTGTGTAACTGATGGGTATCTAGATGGATGGTGATCTTGCATCTTAGAACCCTTTCAAAGATTTTTATGATATGGGACGTTAGCACTGTCAGTCTTCAGTTTTTTTGCTATTGCTTTACTGCCATCTTTGTGGAGTGGGGCTATGTCTGTTGTTATTAGCAACTGTGGCACAACCCCTGTGTCCATGCTCCCTCTCCATAGGATGTTAAAAGCACATGATGGGGGCTTCTTGCAGTTCTTAATGAACATGGGGTTCCATGAGTTTGAGCCTGGGGCAGAGTGCATGGGCATGTCATTTATTGTCTTTTCGAAGTCATTTGGCATCAGGGTAATATCAGATAAGTTCAAGTCTACTAAATTCTTTCTCTCTCATAAATTCATTTAGGTCATCAACCTAAACGAGCTGCAATAAATCCTACTAAACAGCACCCCAATCTATGCAAATTCTATGGCTTTGGTATCTGCCGGCATGGTATATCTTGTAAAACAGGTAGGACATGCATCTTTGACCATCCCAAAAAATACTGCACCCATATGACAACAGGAGAGTGCAACTCCCCTCCCTGTAACTTGTGTCACCCCAAAATGTGTCACTCGTCACTCCATGAAAGAAAGTGCTACAACACATACTGCCAGGCACATCTTCTCAAGGGGACAAAGAAGACACAGACCAGCCAGACTATGGGAAACAAAAGAGGGGAGCCATAACCTCTCCAAAGAAAGAGGTTTTTTAAGGCCAGGAGGAAAAAAAAAAAACTGGAAAGAAATGACAGCAATCTTATACCGACTAAAAACGCTTCTGGAACAGAAGCACAGTCATTGGCCTCCACTCCAGAACAACAGATATTAAATCCAGCGAATAAAACCCCTTTAAATTCTACCTCTATAACGACATTTGTCGCTGCAAACATGCAGCATCTAAAGCCATCAATAAACAACTACAGTGGACCCTCGCCTAACGAACGCATCGCATAACGTTAAATCCGCCTAGAGATACATTTTAATGCAAAAATTTTGCCTCAGCTAGCGCTAAAAAACTCGCTCAACGCAATTCGTTCGAGACGCGTCCACATGTGGCCTGAGCGTGCCTCACTTGTCCCGTGGGTGCCAGTGTTTACAAGCCAGCTACCTCAGTCACATCCAAGCTTACAATCGGAACATTTCATATTATCACAGCGTTTTTAGTGATTGCACCTGCAAAATAAGTCACCATCACAGAGTGCAGGCAACATACACTTTACCTCCATCACAGAGTGCAGGCAACATACACTTCACTTCCATCACACAGTGCAGGCATCATACACTTCACTTCTATCACAGAGCGCAGGCAACATACACTTCACTTCCATCACAGAGTGCAGGCAACATACACTTCACTTCCATCACACAGTGCAGGCATCATACACTTCACTTCTATCACAGAGTGCAGGCAACATACACTTCACTTCCATCACAGAGTGCAGGCAACATACACTTCACTTCCATCACAGAGTGCAGGCATCATACACTTCACTTCCATCACACAGTGCAGGCAACATACACTTCACTTCCATCACACAGTGCAGGCATCATACACTTCACTTCTATCACAGAGTGCAGGCAACATACACTTCACTTCCATCACACAGTGCAGGCATCATACACTTCACTTCTATCACAGAGTGCAGGCAACATACACTTTACGTCCATTACAGAGTGCAGGCATCATACATTTTACCTCCATCACAGAGTGCAGGCATCATACCTGGAATTTACCTGGAGAGAGTTCCGGGGGTCAACGCCCCCGCGGCCTGGTCTGTGACCAGGCCTCCTGGTGGATCAGAGCCTGATCAACCAGGCTGTTACTGCTGGCTTCACGCAAACTAACGTACGAGCCACAGCCCGGCTGGTCAGGTACCGACTTTAGGTGCTTGTCCAGTGCCAGCTTGAAGACTGCCAGGGGTCTATTGGTAATCCCCCTTATGTATGCTGGGAGGCAGTTGAACAGTCTCGGGCC